GTGAAGTTTTCAATGTCTATATTTTTCCTCCCAGAAGAGTTCCTCTCATCATTTAGTTCATTTTGAACTTTTTGGAGTTTATTGAACAAATCTTTATTAGACTTACTCCATGTTTTTAACTCTTCTTCACACTCTTTTCTGACATCATCCAAAGATTTTTCAAGTTTATTAATCTGATACTTGAAATCTTTCTCAATTTTTTCCAATGCTACTTTATGCTCTTTTTGTAAATTTGCAATAAATTCCACATTAGCATAATTCTCAGAAAACATGTTTATGTATTTTTCTTTATAGTCCACTATACTCTTCTCCTGCATGGAGATCTGAGCTCTCAACTCTTTATTCTCCTTCTCTAGAAAAGCTACCATTAAGAAAATTAAGATTGATCAAATATAGAATCTATGCAGTTCAAGAAATTGATAAAAGAAATACACTCTAAAAATATTACACAATCACTCTCAAAAAGAATTCACACTTCACACAATTCTCAAACAAATGAAATTTTCACAAACAAATTTCAATACTCAAATTCACAAACAAATGAAAAGTCCGTATGAATCAATACCAACAACAATCCATGGAAAGTTTTTAATAATGGTCGTCTGAATAAGAAAAACCATGCACATGCAATAATAATGGCTGGACTTGGTTAGCATGCAAAAATATCAACGTCCAATCAAATTTGTTCAAAAATCACACTATCGTCCTGAATACTTAATCCGCTCAAGATGATGACTTAATCCGCTCAAGAAGTATCTCTAAATCGCTTACCAAAATAAGATCTAAATCGCTCAAAACACTCTCTTAAACAGCTTACTACTAACTCTTAATTGCTCACCGCATAAAGTATATATCGCTCAACACTATTTTAAAATCGCTCAACAAACTAAGCTTAAGTCGCTCAAAGCACAGCCTAAACTGCTCAAGGAAGTATGTATATAAACCGCTCAATGCATGGGATAACTCGCTCACTGCATGAAGAAAATCACTTACTGCATGATCATAATCACTCACTGCATGGTCTTAATTCGGTCAAGTCCGCACAAGGAGTAGGCTAAATCGCTCACACTAAATCTTAATCGCTCAACTAATGTTTTAAATCGCTCAATACACTCCCATATCCGCTCAAGTCCGCTCACTGCATAGATGAAACACTAAGTATAAATCGCTCAACACTAGTTCCTTAATCCGCTTACTGCATGAAGAAACATGAAGTATAAATCGCTCAACACTAGTTTAAAATCGCTCACCTCACAACCTAAAACGCTTACCTCACATGCTCTAAATCGCTCAACCTATGTACTTAAATCGCACACCACATGATGCAAATCCGCTCAAGACTGTTTTAAATCGGTCAAGCTTGTTTAAATGAGTAGCTCTAAATCGCTCACTACACTTTCTAAGTAGCTCACCACATGATCTTAATCGCTCAACACAAGCTTTAACTCGCTTAAAGCAGTTTCTAAACACGGTCAAGTCCACTCAAAACCAAGACTAAACCGCTCAAGAATGTTTTAAATCGCTCAAATTATGAAATACCACACTGCCTAAATCGCTTACCACCTCAAGACCATGTTTCGTATCCGGTCAAGTCACTCAAATTGTGTGCTTATGACAAACTAAATCACTTACTATACAGTCTAAATCGCTCACCTATGGTGACCACTCACTCTAAATCGCTCAATACAGGCTCTTAATCGGTCAATGCTTTGTCTAACACCAAATTTAAATCGTTCAAAGAAGTGAAGTAAGAATATTCTAACAAGATTCAATCAAAATGTCAACCAAATTTAGATCAAACCAACAAACAAACACAAAAACTTACAAAAACTCATACAAAAATGAATCAAATTCAAGATTTTATGAGTTTTGACCAAGAACACAAAGTTTTTCAAAAATTACAAATCTCTTCAAATCTTTAATATCGATGATCAAATCACAAAATCAAAAAAATAACAATGATTCACGATGTAAAAACGTACACAACGATCACAATTTTAACAACTAAACATCCAAAAATGAGAAATTTGAGATATAGAATAAGGATGAACAATCAAGAACAAGATGAATATTCAAGAACAAATATGAACTTTAAGAACAATTTTATGAATTTCCAGAAAATTGTGCAACTCTTGATGATTTCTTCAATCAAATTCCTGCAAATCTGCTCTGATACCAATTATAAGTCCCAAAATATGATCAATCTTCCACTAATCTTTAGATCAACAATGGCAGAGATAATATACAATTAAGAACACTTAGAAGGAGATGAGAGAGAAAGTCAACAATCCAATCTTGGTCAAACTATTATTACGTAATCAGATGTTTACAATAAAGCTCATTCTCATGATTACAAAGCAACTCACCCTTTATATAGGGTCAAACATAAACACAAAGTCAAAGTCAAACTGCATAAGAAAAGTTAAACATGATGATTTTAAAACAATTATAGACAATTTTATCTTTCAAGACGAATACAATTTAACACTAAAATTCAGTCCTAACATTATGCCCCTGCTTTCATGAAGAAACTTGAAAAATACCTTACAGCTGATGGATTATAAAGATAAATAAAGAAGCAACATGCACTACTTATTTTCTCCATTTTTACCATTCATACTTTTTTACTTAGTTCTAAACCTCTTTGTTGTTTTTTTTCATACGAAGTCCAAATAGTTCCATATACATACTCATACTTATACAACCATGATTATTGTTTCTTTTCTCATTCCGAGCATATAAATATTAAACCATGGAAAGTATCTCACTCACCTCAATCAGTGTCATCGGGCCTGCAATGCAAATAAAAGTGATCAATAAATATCATTATATCTCAAGTAAAACAACAACCTATAGTCCTATACTTAACGTGAAATTATGCCACGAAGGTTTTGGAACCGCCCAATTCTCGCCGTCTCCTCGTTCCCATGATTCCTTCCTAATTTCTTCATCAAACTCTTCCTCAAAACCTTGTACCCGGCTAACAACGGCACCGTCGAAAACTTCTAGAAGGACTTCCACTTCAAAAAATCAACCAAATTTCTCCATTGCAACCCTTGACCTGCCACCTTCTTCCTCCTCCTCTTCTCCACCGCACTTGGTTGCAGACCGTGCTAGAGATTTTTCTTTAAAAGACGAGTCGTGACTGCTTAGGCTCCTGCTTATGTTGCTGTTGTTATCGAAATCCGAACCAGAGACGGAGATTTCCAACACGCCTCTACAAGGTTCTTGCTCCTCGTGATCATCACCATCTTCTATTTCTATGAATCTTTTGATTCTTTTGGGATTCTACAATTAAAATTTGTGATTACATTCAAATTATTTCATACACTAAAAACAAAAGCATAAAAATCAAAATTGAAGGTGTGAATAATCATTGTTCATTTGGACTGAAAGGGGTGATTAAATTACTTATAGGATTTCGATGAGAATATCAAAAGAAGGAAAGGAAGAAGTTGAATATTCTATGGCCGGAAAACATAGTGACGGGTGTATGGGACATCTTGAGAGGGAATTATTCTTTAAAAGAAAGGAAGGGAGCTGGATTTTAAGGGCAAATGGGAATATGGTGTCCATATTTATACTCACTTTCCAACAAAAAAAGATTTTGTGAATGGGAAAAGGATCGTGAGAGACTGGGGGGTTTGGGACACAAGTAGCATGTTGACGTGGATAACCGCAAAATAAACAATTTAAAAGACTGATATTTGATGTAAACGTCTAAGATTCAAAAGATAGTTTTTTGACTCACCGTAGTCAATGTTATATATGATTATTAATTATTAACCAATTTTAATTAGTTTTAACTATTAATTAATTTTTTATTAATTAGTTTTATGTATCAATTAATATTAATTTTAATTATT